TCCTTCTGAATGCCTGGAATAAAGATCCGATGGCCGGAGCAGGAGCAGCCAAGTTAGACAAGGAAGTAAACTTAGGAATGGGTGGCGTGCACGGCTGTGGACAGCCTGGGTCCCCGACGCCGTAGGGCTGCCACACCAGCCTAGGACTCATACAAGGGAGAAATTAACTTCTACCTGATCACTGCTGTTTTCAGCAGCCGACTCTAATCCTCAGGGCGACAGATGTTGTGACCTGATTTGCAGAGAGGAACTTCTGAACCCTTCCGAGTCAGCTCTCATTTTGCCTGTGAAACTCTGCCTTCTCCCGTGTCTGGACCACAGGCCTCGGGCATCCAGATGACTTCAGTGATTTTACCAAATCGACACTCCGAATTAGTAGTAGATCTCACATCTTTTAAAACTGAGGCCCCAGCTTCCAGCGCGACCTCAAGGTGGATTTGGCTGCCTCCAGAACGATGAAGTGCAGACTGTTCAATGCAAGGAGCCAACATTAATTTATATTTTATGAGTTTGCAGTTCAAAATAGATGTCAACACCAAAATATTGAGTAAATGAGCACACGTAAAAACAGCAAGCGCTGACTTACTGCACACTTTCTATGGGCATGCTCTATTTAATCATCGTTTAACTCTCCCAGTTGTCATGGAGGGCTGATACTATCATCGTCCCCTTTGTAGACATAAATGCGCTGAAGCTAATTGTTTTGGCCCAAGTTCATATCTGCAGCTTCACAAAACACGGAACCACAGAGGCCCTCCCTCACCCACGGCTTCCCTTTGTTGTTTCAATTACCTAAAGAGGGGGAAAAAGATGTTTGCAGGTTTAGCCTCAAGGAAAGGTAACCTAGTAAAAGACGAGAACACAGAGAAATTAAACTGAACAATGCAGGGCTTTTTTTGTTCCTCAACAACATAGATGGATGTCATCTTCATTCTCTGAAAAGCTGGAACATGTACCCTGAAGTTAGAGATTTAGGCTTGGTTTCAGCTGGTTGAAAAAAATCACCTGCTCCTGCTTAGGGTAAAAAAAAAAAAAAAAGGCAAATTCAAAATTTTAAGGCCACCACTGTGGGCTGGTCATTTTTTTTAAAAAGAAAATTCCGAGGCTCTCTTCCCCAGAGAGATGTTGCTGGCTTCACAGACTCTTGAGATTTGGCAACTCCCAAACCGCGTAACTTTCCATTCTCATTTATAAAACATTTGCAGGAATGTTGATAAGTATAATGCGTGTAAGAAAGATCCTTAAATTAATAATGGCCATCATTTATTGAATGCTTACTACGTACCTGACGATAGTAAAAAATTTACCACATAAGTGGCTTTTTTAATATATAATCTTTCTTCTTAAAATGAGCCCCTGAGGCAGGTCCCACCTGTGCATTCTGCAGATAACAAAGTGAAGAATCCGAAGGTGTTCATTATCTGGCCTGACAGCCGCGGCCACACCCACATGGGCGTGTCCAAGGCCCCACCCTGCGGTCCTGCGCCCGACTGTCTGGTTGGATGAGGAGCAGGACCGCGGTTCAGCCTCTTCCATTTGTTTCCTCCGTTTCCCAGGATGAGGTGCTGGTTTTTAAATATCATGAAGCCTCAACGCAGAACCTTTCCTATCCCTGAAGAGCAATGCCTTTTCGAGAATGAAGTCGTGGACCTGGGAGCTTTGGGCAGATGTCGAATCCAACAGTTGTCTTCTGCTTGTTTGACTTACTCAGGAGGAGTGGACAAACATCGCAGAACAGAAGGTGTCCAGTTGTAAGGACCCTTAGGGACCACCCAAGGCAGTGGTGTCAACCCCGGAACAGTGGGCCCCAGTGGAGACCCCACACAACCACTCAAGCCACCTCTGCGGACTCCCCCTCTTGTCCCTTCCTGTGTTTCCCTCTTGAACTACTTTTCCTAATGATGATTAGTCATCGCCTTTGTAATGTCTTCAGTGTCTGGGCCAGGCCCCGTGCGGAGCACACAGCCAGTGACCGTCTGCTGAGTGGACTAACACAGGCCCCCAATGGGGATGTCCCCCAGGTGCCCTCCCGTACACTTTGAACACACCGCTCTAAGTCAACCCCCTCGTTGTCCAGACAAGAAAATGGATGTCAGACTGAGAAAACTGTCAGAGGTCAGGTGGCTACAGTCACAGAGCCAGGACATCCAATCGACAAGGCTGTCCATGGCTCCACGGGGATCTATGGCTGAGCGGCAGAGGGCTGGGCTGTCCCCTCAACACCGGCAGCTATGGTACTGAAGGAAGTTGTCATAAAAGGCAGATTCCTGGGCCCTGCTGCAGGTCCCCTGAATCCCGGTCTCTGGGAGTGGCATGCAGGAGTCCTGTTGAGCTTACGTCTCCTGCCGTCATCCTGGTGCTCACTGACCTTGAGCTTGGACTCCGATGCTCCCTTATCTGGCTCCAGGAGTAACCTGAGGCTCCATCAAGGGTGATCATTCTTCTGTTTGGGGCCCGGTTCAAGAATTGCTGACCTGAGACTTTATCTACGGAGAGTCATGTTCTTGCATGAATTATTGACTCCATAAGCATTTACTACCGACAGTCACTCTGTCCCCAGGGCTCCATCCTTATCCCTCCTTTGTTTTCTATAGCATCCCCAGGCCATCTCATGCATACCTGGTCCCCACCACCACCTGCTGCCTGTGGATCTCCGGAGTCTACCTGTCCTGGAAAATGCAACTACCCGTAGCTGTGTGGCTTTGCAAGTGGGGTTACAAACTCTTTGTCACTCCTCCCTTCAAGAGGGGTGACCTATATCCCTTCTCTAAGTATTTGGACAGGCTTCGAGACTGCTAGAATAGAGCGCAGTGAATTTTGGAAGCCTGGTCCTCAAAGGCAAGTACTCCCATCTGGTTCTCCTGGGCTGAGCTTTGGAGGACAGAACTCGCTGAGTCCAGCCTATAAGCCAACCCCTCGCCGATCCCAGACACAGGAGTGAGGAGGCCTCATACACCCCCAGTTCTCAGCCACTCAAGTTACCCTCAGCTTCAGGTCCTGCTCGACGTGGCGAGGCAGAGACAAGCCCTCCCTGAGGGCTTCCGTCCACATTCCTGGCCCGCAGAACCCAGGGCCACAAGGCCGTATCTGCCGTTTTCTGCCACTAATTTTGGGGCGTGGTGTAGTAGGCAGGATTGGTAACCAGGACCAGCTGCAATGGAAAGCCCCACAAAACCCTGGTATGTGACAAGGGAACATGGCCCTCATCTCCTTTTCCTTCCTGGGCGGCGCCCTCCGCTCCGTGCTGGTTGGGACTGGGCTGGGTTGACCGTAAGGAACAGGGTTGAGCGTTGCCGCACATTTTCCCTCACACAACAAGGGATCCAGGTAAGACGCTGTTGGCATTGACCCCATGTCTCAGGACTGGCTTCAAGAATCAAAGATTTGTATCTTTCAACCCCATCACACCCAGCCTGCTCCCGCCATCAGAGATGGCTGCTGCCTCTCATGTGTGCCTGGGTGTGTGTGCTTTCCAGAAGGACCTGAGCCGTGTGCGGAACACAGGTATGACAGGCGAGGCAGGACACTCTACCTACACGTGAGTTTGTGGTTTTGGCCCCTGTAAGTTCCCAGGTTCCTCACATTCGCTGTTTCTGGCCACCGCTTTGTGGTGATTTGCTACCGCAGCCCTAGTAAGCTGGCACCTCTGGGAAGGTGGACCCTGTGACAGGGATGTTGGGAAGCTGTGGTCCCCAGGGGTCTGGCCACCTCCAGCTGTGGCAAGCTCTGCATGTTGATTTCAAAGACAAACAACGTGTAATTTAACCAGAGCGTCTGGGCTGAGTGAACTCCACTTCTGTGAATTTGCCTGAAGATAACAAAAATGCTAGTTCAAAAGGACGGAGGTCCCCCTATGCTCACTGCAGCATTAATTACAACAGCTAAGACATGAAAGTGACTTTGGTGTCCATCGATAGGTGAGTGGACAAAGCAGACGTGGTGCCTATACACAGTGGAATATTACGAGGCCATAAAACAGAATGAAATCTTGCCACTTGCAACAACAGAGATGGACCCAGAGGGTACTGTGCTCAGGGAGGTAAGTCAGAGAAAGAAAAATACCGTATGGTCTCACTCGTACCTGCAATCTTAGAAAAAACCCACACATGAATCAACAAGACGAAACGGAAGCAGACCCACAGACAGAACAAGGAGCCGGAGGGTGAGGAGGCACAAGAAACGAACCTTCTGCTTCACGTGCAGCTGGAAAGAAGCAGTTCCTCAGTGAGGCTTACTCTTAAGAAGTCCTTTCCTAGAAAACCCAAGTATGTTTCTCTCTCTCTCTTGTCAGTCCCAAGGGAGATGACGTCCACTCATTCCTGAGCCAAATTCTGGCAAAGAGAGCGAGGTGGTCGGGACTGACCAGTTGCTGATCAGCTGGTGGGCCAGGCCGGGGGGGTCTAATGTATGTGAGTAGTGCAGCCTGTGCGGTTCTGCCAACTCCAGCACCCCCAAGATTCTCCGGGTTGGAAGGGGGCTTCGGGTTAGGCCCTCTGTTCTCTGTAAGGCCAAATCTCCTGCACACTCTCCTCCACCTGTTCACTGGGCTTGCTGGTCCATGGCTGGGGAGGTCTGCCAGTGGGGTTCCTCTTCCAGAAAAACTAAAACCCACAGTGGGTGATGATCGGTGGTGAGTGAAGCTGAAAGGATGGCCCAGGTGCGGAGGGGCTGGGGCCACAGACACGCCAGCAACTTTTAGGGCTGACCCCAGGACTTAGCAGAGAAAGCTGCTGGGCTGGGAGCGAACTGAGCTGGCGGGGGCAGAGGGTGGGGTGGGGGACAGGGAGCCAGAGAACCAGGCTGTCTCTCTGCTTCCAGCTTGAGTCTGCACATTCCCACAGTACCTCTTTTTATATAAGGGAAGCTGGGCCAGTTCCTCGCAGCCCTGAGATCCCTAAGTAACACACTGTCCAAAACACAGAGCACCCCATGCCAGCAGCTTGGAACTCACCTTTGACAAACAAAGCAGCCCTTCGCTTTTCTGCACAATCACCCAGATGGCACCAGAACCCACTCGGACCTTTCCACTGGGATGTGCCAGGGGCGGGGGTGGGGCGGGATGAGATCAATTTCCTTAACCATTGTTCCTGAGAGCTCTGCTGTTGCTCCAAAAGCATGGGGGGATGGTGCACATTACGTCAAAGTCGGGGCTCCCCAAGGGAACTCAGTGTGCAGACACCCCCAGTAATGACTAATACCAGTTGTCCTCCGGCTGGGCGTGTGTGGGGACGTACTCAAGGGGACGAGGAGGGACACTCTCGTGTGCACACATTCCTGACACTTAGCCCCCAGATCTGGGCTCCTGAAAACGGTCCAGGGGAGGCAGAAGAAGTACTGCTTTCCTGGAATGTCACAACGCTAAAGAAAAAAAAAAAAAGGAGAAGGGGACAGGCCCTCTCTCCTACCTCCCGAGACACGCACTGCAATGGGAAGGAAGAGGGTAGGAAAAAGCCCGTCAGCCATCTGGGAAAAGATGTGTCTGATGTGCGTATCTTTATATAGACATGGTGATGATTTATGCGTGTCTCACCACGGAGTCACTCAGTTAGGTTTCCCTCTTGCTGCGGAGTCACTGAGGGGAACTGCCAAGACCCACAGGCTGAAGCAAGAGGCTGACTGGTCCTTGGCCAAAAGGCAGACCAGCTGGATGACCTGGGGCCACTGACTTGCCCGGTCAGGTCCTCTCCAGATGCTACCAGGATAGGAGTACAGTACTGGACTACTACAGCATTTCCTACAGTACTTTTCAAAATGCTTTCCTGCACATTATATAATTTGATCTTGCAATAAACAACACTGCCTTATTAATTCATCCAGGAGCCCTTTACTGAGCATGGACCATGTGACAGGCGTGTGATGGGTGCTGCCATCAGTGGGGAGAGAGACTTGACCTGGTCTCTGCAGCACGCTGAGTCAAATCAGAAGGCGAAAGCACTGGTTATCTCATCATGCAAAGCCACGGGGCGCTGCAGGCCCTTGTCCCTGAGGGCAGCAGGAAGATCACTCTTGTATTTCGGGAGCTGGAAGATGCCCGGAGCCACACGTTCAGGTGCGGAGCCTGGGACTCCCTGTTAGAAGAGGTGGGAAGAGGCAGCCTGGGAGAGAACAGTAGTTGATGCTCCTAGGGACACTCCGGCTTCCCTCCTCCCCGACGCGAAAGCATTTCGGAGAAATACCGAGAGAGCGTTGAATACCTGCCGCACATCTCGGTGAGAGCAAAGTCCAGGAGGTGCTTCTAGGGAGGCCAAAGGGCACCCTCTCTCATCTAGAATTGAAATAAAAACCAACGGGCTCAGGAAACACGCCAAACTTTTCTCTCAAACTCACGGAGGGCAGCAGACCTGGTGAGCTTCCAAGCCCCCTCAGCGCTTGGCAGCAGTCCTTGAGGAATTTTTAGATTCACATGCTTTTTAATTGTTTTGTCTCCTCGCCCACTTTTGTCCTCCCCGCCCCTCTAAAATCCATCTCCCTTCCCCCTCTCTCAGTATCTCTCCTTTTCTCCCCCAAAGGCCCTAGGTGCTCCCCAATGCCCCCACCCCATCTCCAGGGCGCCGTTTATACACTGAGGGCAGGGACCTGGCACGGAGAAGCCCATTATGAACACAGCTCACTTTTATTGAGTGCCTACTATATCCGAGGTACAGTTTTAAGGGTCTGATATGTATGAATTCCCTTAACTACCACAACAGCCCCATGGAATGGACATTTTCACACCCGTGGAAACTCAAGCACAGAGCTGAGTAAGCGTAGGGATTCGGTAACTAGCCTCAGGGCTCACACTGGGGAGGTGAACAGCAGCACAGCATGAACCCAGGCGTGGATCAGGCTGCCCTGGCCGGAAGCCTGGGGCTACAGCCTCTGGGTTGAACGAGGGCCTAGAGACCTCTCTCTGTGTCCACTGGGAAAGACTGACTCTCCCCTGGGCCGGCAAAGCTGGAAGCATTAAAGGACCCTCAGGCCAAGCTTCGCCTCTTTCCTCAGCATTCGTCAGAAAAGTTGCGAAAGATGTGAAGTCCAGTAAAGAGGACTAGACCTGTGCAACCAGATTTTTTTAGTGCTTGTTAACCCTGGTGTCCAGCATTTAGCCTCTTAGCCTGGCACTCTGCCATCTGGCAAGATGTCTCCCATTTCCCCACTTCCCTGGAAAGGACGGAGGGCAAAAAACAAAAACAAAAACAAATCCTCAAACTTACCCCTAAGAGGGCCTGGTTCTGGAAGCCCCAGCCCCAGGCCACCTCGGGGCCAGCCCCTACCTGGGGTCCCCTTTCTCTACACCACGTTGAGGCTTCGGAATCCGGGAGGAAGTAAAGAAGGCAGGCAGTCGAGCTGGGCGGGGACAGGCCGCGGTGGCCACTCAGTGGCTCTGAACTGGGCCCCGTTGGCCCAGCTCCGCCGCGACCCTCCCCTCCTTAAATCCCACCTCGGATCCCGCGTCCTGGAGCAAGCGGTGCCTCTGCACAGTCGCCAGTAGGGGGATCTAGCTACCTTGCACCCGACTGGGGCTCCTCAGGGCACCGCCGCGTCCTCTTGGTGGTGGGCGCCCTCCGCCTCCTCCCTAGGGCTGACCCCACGAGGCCCTGCGCAAACTGGACGCCCTTCCCTAGCCTTGCCGGTTTGCGGGCGGAGGCCGCAGAGCAAGGTGGAGCGGAGCTGTCCCCGCAGCGCCCCTCTTGGGGAGGCGACTCGGTCCGTGCAGCCTCCGGCGTTTCCCCGGCCGGGCCTCGGCCGAGCCCGCTTGGGTCCACGTGGCTCTGGAGCTCTATATTCGGCTAGGGGGGGAGCCCCGAGCCAGGGGAAAACCTAGCAGAGCGCTGGTGGGAGACGGCTGCGGGGGAGGGGCAGCGCGGGGCCGAGGGGCGGGCGCTGGGCGGAGGAAGGGGAGGGCCGAGCGGCCCAGGCGCCCGCCCTGCTCTGGCGCCCCGACTCCGGGTCCGGGCCACCCGGCCTGCCCCGCCCGTTACACCCGGGGGAAGGTGTTCCCGAGACCGCTCCCAGCCTCTCTCCGCCTCCTCGGCTCCAGCCCCCGCCGGCGGAGCTCCACTATGCCAGACAGTTTCGACACTTTGCAAAGACAAAGACCAGAGGGAGGAGGAAGAGGAGGAAGAGGAGGAGAGAGAGAAGGAAGGGGAGATGTAAGCTGGGAAGGGGGTGAGTGTTTGGGACACTCTCCGAAGCCCCTCTTCCCCAAAGCCCCGGAAATTCCAGCGTGTCCCCCGCCGCGGTGAGTGAGCGCGCGGAGCCGGCCGCTGCCGGGGTGCGCAGGGACTGCGTCCGTGGAGTTGGGGCTCGGGCAGTTTCGCGTGTGTTCGAGTGGAAGGGTGATAGCTCGGACCCGGGAACAGAGTGGTGGGGAGGGGCCTAGGAGGGTGTGACAGTGGAAGTGAGAACGAAGACCCCAGGCGCCGGGAGAGAGACACACGTAGGGTGACCCTGCCCTCGCCCGGCATCACCGGGATCTCTGGGAGAAGGCTGGGGCTCAGGAGGCTTCAGTTTTTACTGCGAGAGATGCTGGGAAGCTCAGCGCCAGATCCTGGGCAGCGGTTTCTGGGGTGCTCCTAGTGACACTGCACACTCGGAGCCGGGCTGGAATATCCCGGATCGGGACCGGGGGTGGGAGGACACCCCACCAGCAGCGGAGCTCGGGGGTGATCCGGTACAGCGTTCGCGGGACAGTATCCGGATCCAGCCTCCAAATCTGCTGGGAGCAGGCGCAGATTAGGGAGGTGGCCGTTGTTTCCTGGGGACTCCAGCGGCCCACGTTTCACTGGATACCGTGGAGAAGTTGGCTCCGGGGAAGAAACAGCTGGACGTGGCGTGCTAGGCAGTGAGGGGCTGGGGTGGGCGAAGTGAAGCCAGTGGCGGGGGTGGCGCTGGTGGCAACTCGAAACTCTGAGTCCTCCCTAACCCCATTAGGCGCCGCAGCTGCAGCGAAATCATTTGACAAAAGTTAACAACTTGTTTGCATCTCCCTGACGTGTGACCTGCTCGGGGCAGGGACCGCTCCTTCGCAGAACGCAAGGGGGCGGGAAACCATGACCCCGGGACAGAGCGCCCCCGGAAGGGGATAGAGCTACATTCCGAACTGGGACGGCGGCGCAACTTCCAGCTCTTTTTAACTAAGCGCGAGTGTGTTTGAGCATGACCTTGAGGGAGAAAGCGCCGCTGAACTTGAGGTGGGTGTAGAGGCTGCGCCCCGGCTTGACAAAGATATGCCCGAGCGCTCCTTCTTCCAGCACCCGTGGCCTGGTCTCCCGGAAGAGAGTGAGGATCCTTCCGACTCTTTTTTAGTCTGGAACCCGGAGTCTCTTCTCCCTCCTACCCGAGGGTCTCTGCTAGCGCCTACCACGGGCCAGGCTTGGTGGGGGCGCACCGCGAGTGCACATTTGCTCGCCCAGAAGTGTGAGAGAGGATGGGGGCTGGGCGAGTCAATGCGTCTCCAGGGCTTTCCTTGTGCCCCAGAGAGAGACTGCCTTGGCCTTGAGGGCAGTGACCTCCTCACCGGGTCGCCCCTATCAGGCATCCTCCTGGCTTTCACGTGGCCACCTCTGGGGACCCCTTGCCTCTTCTGGCTCATCCTCCTTGTGGGTCCCCACGCCCAACGGATCGAGACGGTTTCCCCAGGGAGACAAGGAGCGCCTACCCTTGCATTGCGGCTGTGTGCGTTTGTGCGCGGGGTGGGGAGGCGGGTTCTGTCTAGAGGGGAAAACGAGATAAGCAGGGATCCTGGTTGTCCAGTCATCACTACTGCGCCTGACACGTAGTAGGTGCAAATGCTGTTCGCAAAGCCTCCAAGATGGAAGGCTCCGACAGGGGCCTGTACATCCCCTCCTCTCCTTCCCTGCCCCAGTTCAGCTGTTGACTAGACATTAATCTACCTAGTCAAGCACTGAGCTTCTGGAGGTGCCTTGAGCACCTACTACACGCTGGGCTCAAAGCCGGTCCATTCCTAGAAGCTGCTGGCAGAGCATCCTGGTTTTCTTTTCTGGGAGCTGCGGGAGAGCACCCGGGAGGTTAGGAAAAGACAAGGTGCACTGCCCCCTGCCGGTTGCTGGGGAAACTGGCGCTTGACTCCGCGGTGGGGAAGGGGCGCCTTCGGCAGGATGCCTGGGGTCATCCCATTCGTGGTGCCTCCTTTCACTTCTCTTCCTGCCCCCCAAACACCAGGGCACAGTGGCTGTTTTTGAAATCCGTGGTTGGCTGAAAACAGGGACCTGAGTTGACCATTGCGTGTCCCCTGCCTCTGGCCAGGTCTGGGAGCAAAGTGAGGGGGGTGGGGCTCATCTAGTCTCCCCCTCTCTCCCTCTCCCATCTCCCTCCCTGACTTTGGGCATGAGACTTAATGTCTCAGGGTCTCAGGTTCTCAGTTTCGATATCTGTACAGCGGGATCGTCACCACTACCTTGCAAATAGGTTGTGTGGAATGAACGTTGCCTGTAACTGTGACTGTGTGTGTAAATACATGTGAGGGGGGAAGGAAGGCTAGCATAGGGCTTTTGGTTGAGTAGCGGAAGGCATAGGGGTCTTCTTCCTGGGCCTGGGAACGGTCTCACAAGCCTGGAAACAGCTGTGCTTGCATTTTTCCAGACCTGCCTTTGCTGTCCAGGTTTTTCCCCCGGGGCAAGGCCAGGGCCTGGGTAGAGCAGCGCCTTTCCCTGAGATCACTGACTGGGAGGCCTCCGCACCCGCCACCAGCATGGGGCTGAGAGGAAAACAGGATGGGCTCCCGGTGATGGCAGAGGGTTTCTTTAGTGGTGTGGGTTCTGCTTTGAGAAGCTCTGCACCAGCAGGTGAGAGCTAACTTCTAGCCGCCTCCTTGCTGCCCTCAGGGCTGTGTTTTCTCTGGGAGACACCGGCCAGGCATTCCTCTGGCTAGGCTGCTGAGCACCCCTCCTGAAGTCGGGGAGCTTCACGGAGTTGGCTGGTGGAAACCTTTGGTTCTCTAGGAATGGGGGTGGCAATAAGGACTCCCTGAGCCTCGTGTTTGTGTGGGACTTTGTGCCAGGTAGGTCTCTGCCTCTCCCCTCCACCAAGCAGTGCACCCCCCACCCCGCAGACCAGGGCATGGCTTGGAGGCAAGCTGTTGGCAGCTCCCCTGGAAGGGGCCTCTCTGAGTCTCCTGGTCAGTTAACCTTGCTTGAGTCCTTTGCTGGGTAGCAGATGCTGACTCAAAGGAGTTATATTTGGACAGGACTTTGCCTTATGAGATCAAAACCTTAACCCTCTCCCCAGGCCCCTCCCACACTATAAAAAGCAACCAAGAGATTGGAAAATGAAATCCACAGTCATCTCAGCCTTACACGGCTTCCCAGTGAGCTGTGTGTGCGTGTGTGCACAGGAGCTGGCCTGGGCACAGAATCCTGGAATAAGACTTATGTACACTTTGTTCAGTTGCCGAATCCACGTGGGACCTTCAGCACCCCCCACATCTGAGGGTCTGAGACTCTCCTGCTCTGATTGGAGCACGAGAACCCAGCAAGCGCCTCGGTTCTATTCCCAGGGCCAGTTATTCGAAACTTGGCAGCCAAACTTTTCCAAGCTCTAGGTCTCAGTTTCGTTCTCTGCAAAATGAGAGGCTTGGAGTTCTGCTCCAGTCACTGGGGGGGCATGAAAGCCTTTCTTTGTGCAGACAGCCCCCGCCTCATTTGCCTTTGCCTGCAGCTCATCCCCAGAACCCTGCAGGCATTGTGGGCATCAGAGGCAGCCCTGGGCCTCCCTGGGCCCCGGCACCTCAGACTCACCATGCATTCTAAGTCAGTCTCTGGCAGTTCCCAGCCTGACAGCTGAGCTGACATTTTTGGGGACTCCCAAATGACACCTGTGGCAAGAGGAACCACGGTGACTTCACCAGGGCCTGTCTCGTCCCCACTCTAAGAGTTGGAAATGTCCTTCCAAATCACTTTGTTCAACTCCTTCGTGGTCATGTCAACGTGCTGAGGCCTGGAGGGGACGTCACGGAACTCACCGGGAACGCTGGCCCGCCTCACGGCTCCAAGGCCCTCGCCGCGTCCCCATCCCCGAAGCCACACTCTCTCCTTGTCGGAAACCGGCGGGTCCGTGGGGGGGCCTGCAGTGTTGTTGTTTCTTCGGGTTCGTTGCCGGTTACGTTGTTTTGATTTCCGCTGAGCCAGCGTTTCCTAGGGACTCATGTTCCAGGCACCACACAGGTGCTGGAGACAGACAGATGGAAGAGCGCACGGTCGGTCGGCCCTTGTCCCTTGACCCTGAGGTCACAGTGCTGGTCCCCCTGCTTGCGCAAGAAAAATAAGGTAAAATAGTAGTTTGGCTGTGGGTGTGTTCCACATGGTTCTGCGGAGGGGAGGGACCGGGGTTTCGGGGTTTGGTGCTTTGGCCCGTCTCCTGAAGTACGTGCTGATCTCAGATTTTTGCTTCCGTGGGATCCATCCTTGCTGCTCAGCCAGAGCGCAGGTCCCTGAACCACGTGCCTCTCTGATGGCTTCAGAGTGCAGTGTGTGTGAGCGAGAGTGGCTGCTTTGCTGAAAAAACCTAGTCCTTATCTTTGAGCTCAGATTTAAACAGCTGACTTGGGAGAGTGGGTTAAAGGGGATGGCAGGAAGCGTGGGGGGAGGGCAGCCAGGTTTCGAGAGCACGCCCCCATGCCCCACTGTGTGAGCTGGGCAAGCCCTGCACCTCTGCAGGCCGGAGTTGAGGTGCATGTGGGCAGTTGTCCCCTGGGATTCGGGGTACTGTGAGCATTAAACAAGATCAGGCGCGGGAGAACATCACACTCGAGGCCCAGCTCCCAGAGCCTTCTGATATCCCAGCGAATAGTCTCTGTGCAAGAATTGACTAAAGGCGGAAAGTTCTGGAGAGCTCCTGGAAGAACACCTGAAGTGCAGGCTGGTTTTCAGCTTACTGGTTTCTTAATACCACCCATCCCATATGGAGCAAGGCCAGCTGACCGGGCTGTGGTACCAGCATGCTTTTCTCATCCCCATCCCCGGGGTTGTAGACACCTTGTACGTTTCTTTCCCTGGGGACACAGACATTTACACCTGGGTGGTGGGGCAGGAGACATGGAGTGCACTGGGGAGATGGACCCTGAGCCCATCCTGCTGCCTGGCCACTCAGCAACAGGTGTGACATATGCCAGAGGTGAAGGCACCTGCAGGGGACTCGGTCTGTTGTGGTTAACTTTGGGACGAAGGCGAGACAAGGGGTATTTCCTACAGAGTTGGGGGACCCAGGCAGGAGACCCACTGG